TGTAACAGTCGTCTGGTATACTGTGATAAAATGATTTTTTTTTGCCTTTAGCACAAGATTTTTCTGTTCATATTTCATTATAACCAAATCAAGCTTCTTGTGACAAATGCAAAAAGAAAACAATATGCCATTATCTAGGTCACTAATTCCGTATTACTTTCCTCTTTCTTTTGATATCATCAATTAATCAAGTTTGAAAATAAATATTTACATTTTCAGAATGACTTTTTACTGTAATACTTCAACCTAACAAATACTTAGAGTTTGCTTTGCAGATCTTCAAAAATTTCAGGAAAAAAAAAAAAAAACCGAATATGTTCCAGAAGATGGTATCCATCTTCTAAGACACGGAAAAGTTCAAGGTCAAGAAATAAGCTCCATAAAGAAATCATCATAGAAGAGAAACACGGCTAAAGGTTATAAGATAATTCAAAACAAAATGATAATGCCTGGAAATTCAATTACAAGATTTATAGCTAATTTCAAAAGATGTATAGGGTCTAATTCATCAGCAGTAGTTTCAAGCAGACTGAAAACCTGGTATTTTATGGACAAACAGCAGAACCATATTGCAAATGATCTTCATTCAACTTTTAGCAAGATTCTCTGACTAGTGCGACAATATCTGTTCTATAAAAAAAAGAGAGAAATGAATTTAGTCACGATAGAAATTATCTGACTGACCGTTCAAATATGTGTACTTTGCTTGAAACGTACAGTGAATACTTGTATTTCAGCAATTTTAATAGTAAATTAAGTGGTAATCCAATTTCATTGCTTTTGATACTCAACTGTGCTTAAATATTGTATTAATGAGAGGCCTCTTCATAATGAATACAGACTCTATGCACCTAACCATCACCTTGCTCAAGATTTGAAATATTCAAATTTCATAATACGCAAAAATTTTTGTCCATCAAAAATTATATACTTGCAGTGTTTAATAAAAATTTTACAATTTTTTCTTTTCCTTTCAGTTTTATTTTGTTGATTTTCTTATTAAAATGTTTCTTTATTTTTATTCAAATGTTTCTTTAATCTTTAATGGATGTTTTTTATTTTATTTTATTTTTTTTTTCAGATGAAAATTTGAAAGATCTTGCATCTGTTAATTGACCAAATGATAATGTTCTTGATGAAAATCACAGACAATGCTACCTGAAGTTTTCAACCATAAAATGTTGTCAGAGTGGTTTAAACCACATTGCCAACAGCTGGTGAACAGCTACTGTTCATGACACAACTTTTGACTGTATACCAAGCATAACTGATGATACTATAAACAGACGCACTCTTGTCAAATTATCCGCAAAAACACCATCATATTCTTATCTCTTAACTGTCAGGTTATGACAAGAAAATTCAATTATTACTATATATATATTCAGACAGTCATTTATCTTCACTTCATAAACATATCTTCTGTGTGTCAAAATACCATAAATCACTTAAATATTTCACACTATGGTGAAGAATCTGCTGAAGTTGTAAAGGCCTTAATCCCTGTAATCAAAGAGAAGACTTTTAAAGTATGCTATTCCATTAGGTTGGTATACAATTACAGGCAATAGTCTAGGCTTGAGAGGTACAGATACTGATAACTATTACAGTAGCTAAGAAAGTAACAGAATTACATGCTGATCCCAATATTGTGCCCCACCCCTCCCGCGCCAAGGGGCCAAGACCTTACGTTTTTATTCAAGATTGATTCCCCTTCACCCAAGAATGCTTCAGAGTGATTTTGGGCAATATCCATTCATTCCTACAGGAGGAGTAGGATTTTAAAGAATTTACTCTATTTTTAATTTTTTGCAAAATGTTGACAGATGCCGGATGCATAAGCTTACTGGTCCTTTGGACCAGGTGAAAATGTAGGTCAGAGTGGCCTCCTTTTGATACATAACACGCCATTCACCAAGGTGAACCCATACCCCAATAATGAAGTTCAAGTGGCAAGTAGTGTTAGTAATAGAACTCAGATAAAAGACTGGAAGGAGGGGCCAAAAGATGGGTGGACAGAAAGGTGGAAGGATGGAAAGACCTGGCAGGTGATTTCTCCAGGCAAAAAAACGACCCCAATAGAATGTTAAGCACTCCTTTAATTTTGTGACCTAAAGAGTTTAAAGAAGATTTAAAAAAGGAATTGCTAAACATCACAGGGTTTTTTTCCAAGAAAAACAAACAACAGGAAAGACAATTGTTGTCATCAAGCCCTCAAACCTTTGAAGTTCCTTATTTTGTTTTAGTGATACAAATGCATTTGAATGGAGCAGATGGGATCTAGAAAAATATTCACAGAAGTTTGTCTTTGTGAAAGATCATCTTGTGTCCTTTTAAAAAAAACCCAAAGGAATTGTTAACCTTTAAGGAAACATGATCTTACCTCTGCTGAAGGCATTTCTGAGATAATAAAGAGAACTCTACACAGACAACGGACCGTTTTTCAGGTGATCTAGTTGCATTTTAAGAAACAGACAGCATTGCTATTTAACAAGACAAGGCGAAAGCTTAAGAGAGTATTGGATGGTTTAGGGGTTTCAAATTGTTACATTCAACCTGCAATATAAGCAATACCTAAATAGCTTCCGGATCTAAAATGGAAAAGGTCAGGTTGCTGAGAGAGACGGGGAGGGATGAGTGGAATTTGTGCTCCCATTTACTGTCAAAAAAAATATGTATGCCTTCCAACAATATGTCAGTAAACAGTGTGCTGTGCACAAAGTAAAACAAGGCTTAAGGAAGGTCAAACGTAAAATGTCCACAGTGATGGAAATATTGAATGGATACCTTGTGGAAAAGAAAGTGGCAGAAATAACTTTATATCTATTTCCAGACTGCAACATTGTGATCAGTTTGGTTCAAAGATTCAATCTGCATTGATACATAAAGATAACATTGTTTCCATGGTAACCCTGTCTGATAGGATCACAACAAGGTTTTAACACTTCCTGTTCTGTTACATGCCTTGTAGAAGCATGTATATGATGCTGATTTGGTTACACAAACAACAAAACTGTAGATAGATTGATTTTTTGTTTTGTTTTGTAAATGAGTGACATTAGTGATTTAGATCAAATCAATATCTCTGACCAAAGACAATGAAACATCATTGGAGGCTATTATAATTATAATTATGAATTTTCACAAATAATCTTTAATTCCTATATCAATTTAAAATAATTCATGTCTATACTTGTAAGTGTTATAGAACAAAATAATTTGTTAAATTTTCTTTGTTTTGAAACATAATTTCATGTGAAAAAATTAAGCCTTTAATGCAAAGGAAATGCTTTATCATTAAAATCTGTCTGAACATTTAATATCATGGTCTTAATGTCACTTATAGCTAACACTCTTAAGAATGTTTGGACCGCTAATGTAGAGACATAAATTACATCTTCCCTGAACTGACTTCTGAAACAAACTGTGACATTCCCCCAAAGAAAACCACTGGGACATCCCTCTTTGAAAGCACACTGGGACATCTGCTTGAAACACAACATTCAGACATCCTCCAAAATTATGCAACAGACATCTTGCAAAAGCACCACTCTTAGATATCCTTCCAAAGCACATAGTTGGGACATCCTCATAAAAGTAAACCATTTGGACATCCTTCTTTGAAGCACCCTGGGATATCATCCTGAAACCTTACCACTGGGACATCCTCTTAAATCATACCTTTGTCACATCCTCCAAAAGCACATCATTGGCATGTCCCGCTTTAAAGCAAGTTGCAGGGACAATCTCTTAAAACATACTACTGAGAAATCCCCACAAAACACCTTGCTGGGATATCCTCATAAAGCACTCCGTTGGGACATCATTCCAAACCACATCAGTGAAACATCCTCCAAAAGTATACAATAGGGATACCCTCTCTCTGAATCACACTGTTGGAACACACAACCTGCAAACACTAATGCTTAACTTGGTAATGAACTGATTTTTTTTTAAATATTCAAACTCATTATTTATATACTGAATACCAATTTAACCCAATGTAACTCAATTAAGCTTTTTTTCAGTCTTTGACACATTAACCTGAACATACTCCAAAACCATCATTCAAATGTAAACAAAAAGCATCTTCTGAAGAGTTATAGACACTTAAGTCTCTCCTCTATGTGTAATGAGGCCCCAAAGACAGGAAGAATATAGCTTTGACACTAAGTAAGGAAATTTCCTATATTTATATAGAGAGATATTAAAACGCTAAGTGATAGTGTTATCAAGGAAACTTATTACAGTATTCTCATTCTTACCTTGTTGTGTTATGGTGTAAACTCTTGAAAATAGAATACAAAACTATATCAGATAGCAATTTAGGGAAAATATTTCTCAATAGATATGAAAAAAGATATCAAAATAATGAATTTTTTCTTCATGATATTACATCCATGAAATACCATGAACCCTAATAACAATCTATTGTGTTATTTTTTATCTGTAAAATAGATGGAAAATTACAATGAATTCACTGACGGATGACCAATAAACCAGTTCTGTAATTACTTCCTAATGAATGAGTTCCAGCTGGCCGAGCATACGCTGTGATCTCTGTTATATTAACTACAAAAAAACAACATATCATAAACATTGTTGTTTAGAAAAAAAGATGTCTGCTGAATTAATATTACCCAGTATTTGGATAGAGCCAGAAGTACAATGATCATATCATGAAGTACAACTTAGGTGATGCTTGTGTGTATGTGATACCAACATCATTGTACCTCAGGAAAGATGGTAGAAAAAAAACTATATTACAATCTGTGCTACTGTCAGAGAAATTGTGTATATATGTACAGTACTGTCAAGTAGGGTTTTCTTTTTTTTTTCGTTTGCCCCCTCCATTACCCTCCCTGCCAAGTAATGCTTGACACGTGTGTGAAGAGCACCTCTGAAACACATTGATGATCGAGGCTACACCAGTGTCCTTGGTGGAAGCTGACAAACTTTTGTGTCAGAGACTGTGATGCCGAGATATGTTTTAGATATGTACAAGTTTCTCCATGGTATTACCGTCAGTCTTTGTGATCAATTGTAAACTTTGGACCTGTACTTCAGAAGGCAGAAAGAATGGTATGTATCCAGATGAAACAGGAATTAAATGATCTGACCTAGATACAGATTAATTAGATGAGACAATGTAGGATTTTCAGGTATTTTTATAATAAAACAAGAACACGCTTAAAAATGCTAACTACACAAATGTATCATCAAATATTACAAAATATCTTCTCAAAACAAGTTCTGTAGATACCAAAAAGAATGGCAAATATCGTTAAATATTACAAAAAATCTTCTCAAAACAAGTTCTGTAGATACCAAAAAGAATGGCAAATACCTTGGGGCTAAACCGTTTGCTCAAAGTAATGTGAGGATAAGTTTTATCAAAATTCAATAAAACAGTATATGCTGATAATTCTACCAAACAACATCACATAAGAATTGGCTTATTACCTTACATAGGCTTATTGTCGGATATATACGGTAAGTGTTGAGTTTTAAGTTAAAGATATCTGCTATTCAGATAGTAACTTTAATATCCATAAGAATTATTTCCTTTACCTGAAGTCCTCACAGTGGATGTAGATTGTTTTGAGTTGCTGGATTAAATTTGAATAGATTTCTTAATTTTACATATTATGAATTGTAAAGATGCTTATCATTACTGGGATGTATAGGTTGTGAGCAGTTTACATACATTTTGATAATCAAATCATCTCTTCCCCATGTTGTGGAATTATTTTTATTCTAAATTCAGACTATAAATCAAGTATATAACTTTAAATTATAAGTAAACTTCATTTCTATTCTATATAGAAATAAGCCCAGACACATCAATTGCAGTACCTGAACTGCTAACGAATGCTATATGTAATAAGCTCCCTTATTTGATAAATCAAGGTTTATATATTGACTGGCCACTTATTACACAATGAAACACCCAAGATTATCACAGGAAAACTAACCTGGATTTATGTGATAAATCAACTGGGATTATTGCACAGTGAATAATACTGACTTATTGCATGATAAATTGTCTGGGCTCATAGCAAAAATATACCTAGGCTTATTGCATGATAAATTGTCTGGGCTAATAGCAAAAATATACCTAGGCTTATTGCATGATAAATTGTCTAGGCTCATAGCAAAAATACACCTAGGCTTATTGCACATTGCCTTGGCTCACTGCAGGATAATTCGCCTAGTGTAATTGCAAGACAAATTGTCTGGGATTATTGTAGAATAAATATGGTATACATTATTGTTTACTGACAGCTGGGAGGGTATTCTAACAAATTCAATGAAATAGCTGATATATAGCCTTCATTTTAAAATGTTTAAAAAATGTTTGAAGTTCACAGCAATTTTCACCATTATGAGAGTGTACAAACATACAGTTCTGCTGTGGCTGGTGATACAGGCTGTTGACAGCAATCATTTCCATAAGTGTTGAGCCAAAGTATTCTCATAGCTAGCATACACTGTGTATATGTGTATACCTATTGGAGAATGTTCTAATTATTACTTACATCAAAGGCAGATTTAGAATGACAAGGTAATTGGGAACACACCTTAATTCCCTCTCTTGTCAACAGACTTATATAATGAGTTCTTCAAAATGTCCTCCAGCATTGCATTAGATTGCTTATAATGTCAAGAGAGAAATTACAGGAAATGAATGAAAGTGATTGTAATAAAAAAAACTTAGGTAAAAACAAAGTCAACATTTCTGCTACTTGTGCAATAAGACTTTGTAGATTAATGAAGAATTCAAAATTTCACAAAAAGCAACAACCAAAGTGTTAGGAAATACATTCAACAAATGAAGAAAATGGTCTTTACTCTTTTAACACAAACAGTCCTACAGCATTGGTGTTATTTTAAAAGAGCCAATTTTCTTATAATTAAAGTATGCAATCAGCAGCTCATCAAAAACAGGTAGTTTTATAGATTATTGACCTTTAAAGGCAGGTAATTGCTGAAGATTAGTGGTCCTTTAGGACAGGTAATCTAGTGATGATAAGTCTTCTTTAAAGACAGTAATTTCTGATGGCTGGAAGTTCTTCCAGACACTTAATAGATTACCAGATTGACAGCCAGTGGCCTATCAAAGAATACTGACTTATAAGAAAAATGGTCTTTCAAGAAAGGAAGCCTTTCATACCAGGCTTTATTCTGAGCTACAAATTCCATATGAAGAGACATATAATGACAAGAAGTGTTTGAAAACTGGTTATTTCAATTACTATTTTGAGACATCATTCCATACAAAAAGGTCTTACAAGACAGGTAGCATGTCATAATCTGTTATACTACAAGACTTTTAGGTAGTCTCTTAGGAGAGGTGGTCTCCCCAGAAAGGTTATACCAGAGTTACAATTTGGTAAGCTAACTAGCAACATTATGGTATACATTAGAATGGGGCTGTAATTAGGCAAAGTACTCTGACAACATTGGCTAACATGTAACAGTTATGTAGCTGATTCTGTTGAGCATGTCCTCTGTCAAATATAAGTAGTACACTATGTGAGTACAATGTCTGGATTACAGAGATTGACTGGAACACACAGGGACTACCATCTCTGACATCAAACTCAGAATGTCTCCATGACAAACTAAGTCTTCTCAGACACAGATTCAAGTGAGTTAATAATGGTTGACTTACTGTATTAGTGTAGAGAATAATTACATATGTGTTAATTTATTGTAACATTAAGAATACTTTCACTTCTTCTGTTTTGACAAATATTAATATTTTAAAAAAAATAGAAGGTTTATCACATTTCACCTAAACTTTTCATTATACTGAAAAAAAGGACAAAAAATTAAACAGTATTGCCAAATTATTTAAGGTCATTGCAAGGTCATTGCCTCTTTAATGGATGTTTAATGGTGTAATATTATACAATTCACTGTAGGCCTAAATGTTCTGTTCTATCGTACTCCAAGACTCCAATTTTGTTCATAATAAAGATGTTGGATCCAAAATGAAATTGCTTTAAAGATGAAATCAGAAAGATTGTAAATTATCAGTTTATAACAATATTGATACAGACAGCCTCTGTGTGACAATGACTTTGTCTTGGATTCATTTGCATGGTTGATCAAATATAAGACATTTTGTAACCTTTGTTTCCTGACCTCATATACAGTAAGCCTCTGACCGACATTGATTACAGTCTTGGAACCATCATTGAGGCTCATTCTGATATGAGACATAGAAGGCATTTTGTAATTTTCTACATGTTCACCATATAATCAGCAAGCTTCTAGCTTAAATTGAATACAATAAGCACATCATGTCTTAAAGCCAAATGGAAGCAGGCAAAGTAAGACTTTTCAAAGTTTCCACACTTTTCAAAACCTTTTGATGACACTGAAAGCTGCAAGTGTAATGTATCTTGGAAGCAACAAGAAGCTGGCTGAATGAAATTAGCCTTTTTGTACTGTTTCTACGGTGTCCATAGAGAGCAAGCCTCTGGCTGACACTGAAAGCTATTATGTAATGACTAGAAAAGATAGCAGACAGGAAAATGATATTATCAAGTACCTGCTACTTATCTAACATCATCCAAACCAGATGAAGGTGATTCTTTGATCTTCAAAGTTCTATATCTTGTCACATGAGTTATCTCCCCTTAAGTTGATAATGTGTTGGATGTTTCAATGATATAACAATAACAACTGATGCTTGTGGCATCGCTGAAGGACGCAAGCAAAATGTACTATTATAATTGCTACATAACATCAGTATTGGGTGTAATTCAATACATATTGTACTGTATATGTATCCCAAGGATAAACACATTCCGTTACAAGACCTCAGCATTTAAGATCTTTGATGAAAACATAACTAACTAATGAAATTTAGACCTGGCTGCATATTTTGAATCTCTGTTCAACTCAAGACTTTTATTTTTTAAAGACTCAGGTCATTTAAATTTGCAAAAGTAAACCTTAATATGAGCTTAAAACATTGCAATGAATCACAACATACCTACATACCATACTTGTCCTAACAAGACCTCCGAGTTCATTGAGGCAACTCATATTGTGTTTAAGGATATATAAAAAAGTGAAAAAAATAATTTTACAACAATTGGTAACTAAGCTATGAGCTTATATCAATGACTCTTGTTGGCTCATACAGAAGGGAATGGGGGGGGGGGGGGGGGGGGGGGGGGGGGTCAAACTGTGGGAGGAAACTGGAGTACCTGAGTAAAACACAGCTGGTCAGGCAGATGATTCTCATACATGTCTGTTCCGAGAATCGAACCCCCTGACACTGAGGTGAAAAGTAACTGTGTTACCACTGTGCCACCAAACCACTTAAATACTCATTGCTATCAAAATGAATCTATCAGATTTCTTGTAGATAAAGCAATTTTTTACACATTTATATGATTAACAATTACTTTGAAACTTGAAAAAATTTCAAATATTTCAAAAATTGTTGAAGATTTTGCACCTTTTGCAATTTTCCCAAAGAGCTAAGTGCCCATGGAACTATCAGATTGGTCAGATAATAGTAGCTGAAAAAGAGACTCCTCCTGGAAAGATTTAAATGTGGGTTTTAAATGGTGTTTAAAGAAAATCAAATTTATGACAGTTTCTTAACAGAAAAAGAATGTGATTGCATGTAATTATGTACAGTTAAAGACAATTAAAACTCCATGCTGGTTTTAAAAACGATTTATGATGCTTGAATGAGTAATTGAACATGGCATTGGGCATTCAATCTCAGAACTACAAAGAAAGTGGACTGCAGATTAAAAGGATTTGAGACACGATCAAATCTTTTTCTGAAAGTCAAATTCACAGTTAAAACCATGCATTTCTCTGTGTTATGATCATATATATCTAGTTGCTCAGCAATGTTGTAACGCAGAAGTTTTGAGTCATGAAACAAAATTTGTAGTGGTCATGCAATTCCATGTACATTAAGTTCCTCAGAAAAGTTATGATACTGCAATTTCAAGACTTTTTATTTGAGCCATAAACCAAACTACTAATAAATGCTATCTTTCTGTTTCATTAATGTCACAGAAGTGCAGTGCCCATGAAAGATGTTG